GACATAAGTTCCTGACGTTTCTGAAATATTTATGCTTTATACAATTGGTGAATTCAATGTATTATGTTTCGATTCATTATAGAATTGATAGTGTCCACTTGATTACAAGAGATATTTATATATGTATGTGATGACGATCAATACATGAATATAAATAGTAATCATAAATGGTTCATAGTTGGTAATTATGGATGGATTTATAATTAATTAAGACTTGAACTGGATCCGCGTTAGGTTGAGATATATTGCGAGAGCCGTCGTATGCAATTGCTCTCTATCACCGTCATGGCATTTGACTCTTAAGCATGAGAGAAGTATATACTCTTTTATTAATTAGTAGTTACTTTGATTTGTCCGGCGGAATCTTCGGAATCCTTAGACCGGCACTTTGGGTAATTATGTAATTAATAGTTCGAGAATTATATTTTCAATATTTGCATCATTGCTACTTGTATTTATTTTGTATTGATTATGGTTGATCACAAAATAAATTCGAAGGCCTTCGTGTGTTTTTAGACAAAATGATTTATTATATATTTATTTATTTAAATTATTATTTTTGTCAAACAAATATTTTATTGTGATCGAGCCAGAAATAATCAAAGCTACCAAAATAAATATATTAATTAAGTAGTCGGATTGATGGCTTTATTTATCCGATAACTAATTATGCATAGAGGGGTCAAAATGCAATATTGACTTAGAGGTTATTTATTATTTAATTAGAGTTCAATTAATTTCTTTTAGTGGAGTAGAAATTAATATATGAATTAATTGAATTAGGTCTATGGACTGAGCCAATTATTAATTCATTGTAGCCAATAAAATAATAGGCTCAATGGATTCTCACTCATAGCCCAACTTGATATTGGAATCATATTAGATTTGAGACATGTGAATTAGAGATTGAGAATGATTTGTTGTTTTCTTTTCTTTATCTTTATGTTGCTTATAAATATACATGGTCTATGTATATTTTAGGGGTGATTTTTGGAAGAAGGAAAAATGAACTTATTTTCTCTCTCTAGAAAATTAGGGTTTATGTTCTCATCTAATGGAGGCTCCCACAAGCCTATTTTTCCAAGGTCATTCATGGAGGCATATGAGTGATTCCTAAAGGCAAAACAATTGCCAAGAAGATGGAGATCCAAAGAGAAGGCATCTTGCTAAGGGATCTATAATAAGTGAGAACATTCACTTTAGAGGAAAGTTTTAAAGGTTTACTTAGACTTTTGATGTAAGTATTGAATCTGTTAATTGAATGATACATCATATTTTATTTTTGCATAAAACTTGTCTCTATGTGATGAATCAAGATTTATGAATCAAAATCCCTCAAAAAGTTTTTAAAACTAGCACGTTTCCCAACAATTTTCCCTTTGTATTGTCCTCATTCATCCATAATAGAGGAAGGCTTCTAAAGATGTGCTGAGACACAGAGTAAGAGAGAGAGTCTCAGTTCCCTGATAAAAGGAAGAACAAGAAAGGGTACTTTGTATTAACTGTAATAACACTTCTTAATGGAGAAACTATCCTTACATTGCATTTGCAAGCTTGTCAGTGTGTGTTTAATTTGTTTCCTTATTTACAGAAATGTTTTTATAAAGCTCTTACATAAACTATACTGGACATTCCTTCAAAAGAGGCCTTGTTGCCAAGGTGACATGTAAACTTTGATGCACACAGTACCACAAACGGTAAGAGGCATGAATGATCTCCATTTCAGCTTCAGAGCTGCCTGTTACGCCCCGCCTATGGAGGTTGTGCCACGCAGGCGACACGCAGACGCTGAGGAGGATGCTGCATGGCAACTACATGGCGAGTGGAGTTTCTAGAGTCTTCCGGAGTAGTCTAGAGTTATGTGGAAGATTCTAGATGTGTGTATATATGTGTAGAATATTGTAGAAGTGTGTGGAAGTATGTAGAGTTCTCCAGAATTGTGTGGAGTAATATATTATAGGTACTTGTAAATAAATATGGAAGTGTGAAGAAGGTGGGAGAAGATTCTAGAGAATCGATCTCCACCGTTGGTTAGAATGCATCCTAACCATCCATTAGAGATGGGGATGCCTATAAATAGAGGTAGGACTTCATTTTCTAGGCAACAAGTCCTAGAGTGAGTCTTGAAAGCCTTGTAGAGAGTTTGAGTGCTTGTAACGACCTACTCCACCACATAGTATGATATTGTCCGCTTTGGACCGGTGCCCGCACGGTTTTGCTTTTGGGCTTCAACCCAAAAGACCTCATACCAATTGGAGATGACACACTTACATATAAACACTTCACCTTTCTTCTACCCAGGCGATGTGGGACTTGTGCACCCGTAGCTTGCCAGTGTGGTAGCCTGTCAGTGTCTCTCGCACCCGCCCACGGCACACCTGCCCACAAGGTCATCACGATCCACCCCCCTTGGAGGCCCGACGTCCCCATCGGCACACTTCCGGCTGGGTCAGGCTCTGATACCATTTGTAACGACCTACTCCACCACATGGTATGATATTGTCCGCTTTGTGCCGGAGCCTACACGGTTTTGCTTTTGGGCTTCATCCCAAAAGGCCTCATACCAATTGGAGATGACACACTTACATATAAGCACTTTACCTTTCCTCTACCCAGGCGATGTGGGACTTGTGCACCCTTAGCTCGCCAGTGTGGTAGCCTGTCAGTGTCTCTCGCACCCACCCACGGCACACCCGCCCACAAGGTCATCACAGTGCTAGTCTTGTACAAAGCATTCTTTGAAGTAATAAAAATGTTATTTCCTTGCCAACGTAAGTGTAACGACCCTAAACTGATACCATAATTTTTTAAAAAGATTCTGCATAACCTCCCCTACAAATGGGCCTACTACAACCTGTTTAAATGCATTTTAAATCTGTTCCAGCACAATAAACATATAATACATTCCAACATCCCTTTCATCCGTTCATCATGCCTTAACTTAGTTCATTTCATAATGGTACAACCACATACTATATCATCCAGATAACATAGTTACAGTCCCAACATACAAGATTAATATCAAATGTCCATCTTTTACAACATTTAGACAGCTCATACAAAAGTTACAGCCCATAGGTATAATTATAATAACAAGAGTCCACAAACCTCTATATCGAATATAACAAACTAAGATTTTACAAAAATATGGGACTTAATACATAAATAGCAAAAAAGTCTTCTAATCTAAATTAAGCCTGTGGTGGAAAGTCATCTGCCATTTCTTTCCTGTCTCTTGAAAAAGTTTGTTAAATAATAGAGTGAGCATAAAGCTCAATAGGTAGCACTTAAGACACGCCTCTTGTGTCCCAGTGAATTCAACCAAATAATAGAGCAATGGGAATGGGGGTCATACTATGCCGGGATCATATCACTTAACAATCAACTCAAATATAAACAATATAATGTAATATAATGGGAATGCAGTGCATGTCGATGTCGCTCCCCATTTCTACATCTCAAAAATCATCACTTTCAAACTGCTAATATAACCCGCCCTTTGGTGACCCTGCAGCGACACGAGAGAAGGATTGGCTAGTGTCCCTAACCTTTGGTACCCCCGCGACGTCATTATGGGGCCCAGCTAACTCAACCACGCTAGGGCGACTCCCTAGTTCCCTCTAGGCTATATTAACACTCCGGCCCTTTGGTACCCCCGCGGCGACCGAGTTTTCATAAAACACTTTTCATCAAACAATTTTCCAAAATCCCCCTTTTTCATTTCAAAACAATCTTCCCAATCATGACCCATGGTATGCATGTATGTTTTGCTTTCATAATGCCATAGAATTAAGGGATTTTATATTTCACATTTGAATATACTCTACAAATATTGAGGAAAAATTACACATGCCATCACATATCATTTCTAACAAATTTTACAACAATATAGGCATGTTATATCAACTATTAGACAAGAAATTAACCAAATAAACATATTCACCTACAATTCACATAGCCTATTTAATCACAACTCTCATATAACATCTACATCACCCACAAGACAATTAATTTATAATCAAACATGCTTTACAACAATTTAGAAGGAGTAATACATATAGGAGCAAGAAAAACGGTAATTAAGAATCCCTACCTCACTTTTGCACAAAACCCTTAAAATGGGTCTTGAATTTCGAACTCAAAGGAGGGCACCAAATCTGGAATAGTTCGTATGGATGCGTAGAGCTCGTAGTGGGCTTCGTTTTGCCTCAAACGGCACTTTAATCCGCCAAGAAATGAGGGAGAAATTAAGCTTTGAATTTGCAAAAAAGAAAAAGAAAAAAGAAGAGGATGCGGAGAGGAAGCAAGTCTGTCAGCGAGAGAGAAAGAGAGTGAGATTATAGAGACTAAAAAAAACATGGTCTTATAACCACTTTTAATAAAAAAAACTTGTGGCCCCTCCACTAAAAGAAACTCACCCACTTTAATACACACACACACACATATATATAAACTTAAACATTACATTAAATGCCTTAGTGGGTGTGAGTGTGCAAGCCAAGTGAGGAGGGGGCGAGGGCCACTACAACACTAGTAAGCGCACGAGGGGAGTGTGTTGGCTAATGTTTGCACGGGAGTTAGGTTGATCAAGTACTTGCGAGAGTAGAAACAACATCTTGGTGCCGCACAAGAGTAGCTAGAGTGGTGCTGAAACTCTAAGCCCGTGACATGCCACTAGTCTAATAGTTCATCTAGCCAAAAACCAGAACTACCATAAAAACACAAAAAAATCTTAGCAGAAGGCAATGTAAAGTACCTAAAATTGTTATATATTTGATTTCCAGAGCTAACATGTGTACCAATTGCTCAGCTAGTATAAGATATATATTTTCCCTTCCGAGGGCATACCCCCTGTACAGGTTGTGCCAAGGGCTATACCTAAACCAAAAATAGCTTAGGTCAGCTCATACCATTTACATAGGCAAGAGAACCATAGGAATGATGGGGAAAAAGGCAATACTGTATATATACTAATGTGTTTATAGACAAAGATTCATATATGAAATGTCAAAATAACTCATTTCCTCACCAAATTAAGGAAACAATTCATCCTTTGAAACTCACTAAAGAAGTTGTATATTCACCACAATTTAATAGAAGCATAACATCCGGCGTACTGGATGTCAGAAATTGGACATCCAAAAGTCATCATCGGGAAAAAAAAGTCTCATTTACATCATCCATGTCTGAAAAAGAAGCTCTACGCATGTCGGAAATATCATCCATGTCTGAAAAAGAAGCTCTATGCATGTCGGAAAAAGAAGCCATAGAGTTGGATGCATCATCCATGTCTGAAAAAGAAGCCATAGAGCTGGATAAATCATCCATGTTTGAGAAAGAAGGCATAGAGCGGTCAGAGAAATCACGGTGCAAAGCTGAATCGGGATTTAGAGTGTCCTCTCCCATCAATTCCGGAATACAAAAAGACATAAAAAAATTGATATCTGGGCTACTAACAGTGTCAGGAGGAGCACTAGACATCAAATTGCTGTCTGTGGGATGAACTTGGTCAGGAGGACCGGACATCAAATTGCTCTGTGTGGGATGAACTTGGGCGGGAGCACTGGATATCAAATTGCTCTCTGTGGGATGAACTTGGTCAGGAGGAGCGGACATTAAATTACGAACTTGGTCAGAAGGTGTGGACATCAAATTGTTCTCCGTGGGATGAACTTGGTCAGGAGGACCGGACATCAAATTACTCTCTATGGGATTAACTTGATCAGGAGGACCGGACATCAAATTGCTGTCTATGGGATGAACTTGGTCAGGAGGACCGGACATCAAATTGCTGTCTGTGGGATGAACTTGGTCAGGAGGACCGGACATCAAATTGCTGTCTGTGGGATGAACTTGATCAGGACGACAGGACATCAAATTATCAACTTGGTCAGAAGGCCCGGACATCTCATTGCCATCTGTGGGATGAACTTGATCAGTTGGCCGGGACATCAAATTGTTTTCTGCGGGATAAACTTGGGCAGGAGGACTGGACATAAGTGCGGGAGCAAAATATCCAGACACACGTTCAGCAGGCATGTCCATCACATAGCAATCTCTTTCTTCCTTTTTATAAAGCTTACACAAAACACAATCATCCAACTGCAAAAGATAGATATATATAACTAGTGAAAATGATATACTCTACATTGGCAATATATTATGAAAGCTGATTAATAATTTAATACATGGAAATTAATTAACTAAGGACTTGTAGGACATACCCTCATGTCATTTGTTTCGTTTCTTGTAACATCTGGTAGTGTAAATTCTTGCATAATCCAATTGGTCTTGTCTCCGGGAGGTTTTCCTTTATAGAAAACCAATGTCCTCTTAAATCCAAGAATATGATCCTGGTATGTCACTGCCTTGTCACCTGCACTTGCCTTCCAGAATCCATCACCGGCTGCTCGGTTTGGTCGCTTTCCATTTTGACACCTCCGATACCTTGGTGTAAAGAAGTACCATTTCTTCGTCCCTAGTGCAGGCTGTCTTGTCGCTGCAAATTACAATCAACCAATTAGAATTTTAAGGCAACTCATAATATATTTATGGTCAACGACTAACAGAAAAACTATTGACACAAGTATCAACATATAGAATCAATAGAGGACTGTATGCATGAGAGAGATACAACCACTGAAGCACTAGAACAAGAATGTTATGGCATCTCATATAATTATGGTCAACATTTATAATGAAGCGAAAAAAAGGTAAAATACCATGGGAACAGTACATGCCTATTTAAACCCCTTAGTTCTTGCACTTTGATGTACATTGCGCGCACACAACCATATTCAATGATCTTGTCACAGATGTCATATGAATATCTTTGAATTTATTTGCAATGTGCTTTCCAATGATGAACATGTCCAAATTTCAAAGTTGAGAAAGTCAATTAGGCAACAATAATTTACCTTATATATTAATTTTTGATTTTTTGCAGTACATAGCAATGTTTTAGGTGGTTGAAATCACTCTTGGTCCATATATAAATGCATGTGCAAAGAAAAAATATAAACATTTTTGACCTTTGATTGAAAGTGTACATGCTAATTAATTTAAACCCCTAAGTTAGTGACTAACACTTTCGGGCTTTAATTAATCTTCCAATAGCCAAATCAACCTCAGATGCACATTGCTCACACACGCCAATATACAGTATATCAGAAGAATCCATCATTCTACAGAGCAAATGCCCATTTTAACCCCTAAGTTCTTCATGTAGTGCACATAAACAACCATATATATAAGAAGAAGCCATCATTTTACTTTTTCAAATGATCCCACATGCCAATTTTGTATTGTGATTTCTCATGACAAAAAAAAAAAAAAATATCATTTTTGGCAACTAAATTGAAAATTGTACAAGGACATGATCTTAATTAATTGCATAAGAATTATACAAACCCAACCAACCATCTATGCATCCAAGAAAGAAAAAAATGTAGAATCATCTAATCATATTAACATACAAAAACCTTATTAAAGAATAACAAAAACAAGTAGAGTTCATATATATATATATATATATATACCTGCCAGTTCATCAGGGTTATAATCGTAAAGGTTGAGCTCATGGATCTGGTTAAGGGGCAACATCTGGTTTGTAACTTTATTCTTCAAGTAATGAATGAATAGTTCAACATCTGAGGGCAAAACCTATACCCAATTACGAGAAAATTATTTAATTTCTCAATCTCGATGTTAGCACTGGAAGTAGCTGCCATTCTTGAAACCTACGTACAGCAGCCCCTCTTCCTCTCTGTGTGTCTCTCTTCCTCTCTCTCGTTTGAGCTATATAAGAGGGGCTCCCATTCACACTCATCATTAGTAGACTTTTGACTACTCTTTTTTTTTTGTTTTTTTTTAATTTTTAATTTTTATTTTATAGAATTCTCCTTGGTGGATTTGAAGTCGGAGACGACTTAGAAAAGACCGTTTAAAAGAGATAAATATATCTAAGACATAATGTTAAATCTAAAAAGAAACAAAGTAAATCTGTGTTTCCACAATAAATAAAATTGGTCTGGGCAAATTTATTGGGAATAAAATAAATAAATAAAAGGGTCTGAGAATATGGACGTGGTAAGATTTTTGAATTTTGTTGTCATTGGGTAAATAAAATAGGAAAATTTTAGGTAAACTATAATCACCTTTCCTAATGTATGGACTAATTGTAAGTAAACTAAAAATTTGTCATTTTTTTGTAATGTGTTTTCCATTAAGTTTAGTCAATTTTGCAAAGACCTCTCTCTGTACAAAAAAAGGATATTTTTTTTGTCAAATATTTGGTTTGAAGTGACTAAAATACCCATTGACCAAATGAAAACGCCTTTAATACCCTTATAGTATCATGAAATAACAACAAAAATCAGGGATAAATGGTGTCTTCCCGAGGGTGCGCACAAAACAATGTACAACACTTTGAGTTTGGAAATTAGTGTCAAGTGGGCACCATAATTTAAATTTATAAACCGCTTAACACCTATACTATGTAGTATGAGTGAGAATGGATTGTCCCAAGGGATTGAGGGTCGTACTAGGTTGAGGAATCAAAATTAGGGTTAGTAGGTCGAGTGATCAAAATAGTGGTTGGTTGGTTGAATTATACTAGATGCAAATTAAACTAAAGTAAACAATAATGCAATAAGGAGAATAAAAGAGAGAGAGATCTTGGGGTTTAGAGATCACCACTAAGCATAGCTTTTCTACACCTTTAATAAATGATTAATGAGGGAAAAAACATGTATTGCAACAAGGTGTGTGTGTGTGTGGTTGTTCCAACAAGCATGGATGACAAATTAAGCATATATTGTCTAAACAACAAGGTGGATAGCACAACATATCAAATTAAGCCATTAATCCTTTCTTTAAGCTCACAATCCAAACACATCACAAGGTTAGAGATATATGTTACTTGCTTTCATAAGTATGGAATATCAACAATAAGCATGGATTGTCTTCCCATTTAACAACTACACTACAACTAAGCTAATGACATGAAATTAAACTAATTAAACTAAGGGAGAGATACAATCCATCAAGAAATGAGTATGAACCATCAAATAAACCACAAGAACATACCATTAAGCATTATGTCTTGACAATCTCTAGATCTGTAGCATCAATACACATAAACATGCATCAATAATACAACAAATAGAAACAAATACATGAACATCTATTCTAGCATACATAGATATATGATAGAATGAAATGATCAATTGGAAGCATTAAACCACATAAATCATTGAATAAACAAGATCTATATATATATAAGTGTCAAGATATGAATCACAATACAAATCCCCTCATAAATACATAAATCAAGAAGTAGAAAGCATGCTTAGGGCTAACTCTAGCCCCAAGAGGATGTCTAGCCACTCATGGATGATGTCCTCCAACCTTCAAGGGCAAGCTTCATGGAAGAAATCTGCTCCTTCGTTGATGAAGAGTCTCCAATGGTGTCTCTAGCTTCCTCATCTCCTTTGCTTCCTCACTAAGTATTATCTTCTCTAAGTAAGTGTATATGTGTAAAAGTGGCTTATATTCCTTATATAGATAGGTCAAAAATCACGCCAAATGAGCTGGGCTCGTACACCAATAATCCTCTAATGATTGGATATGAGACAACTTTTAATGAGCTGGAATTTAGATTTTTCTCAGGATTTGGGAAGTTCGATCGATCGAACTTGTGGTGAGATCGATCGAACATGGCTGAGATCTATCGAATTGAAGCTGGATCTATCCTTAATGGTAGCGCCTTTTTGGATAAAAACAAATCTGTTTTTGGGAAAAGGACAAAAGTGGTTGGTAGGGTGGTACAGCTGGATAAGATCTGGCATGTGGATAAGGACAAGAAAGTTCGATCGATCAGAGAATGATGTTGGATCGATCGAACTTTTGGGATCTTTGAAGATGACATCATAGCCTGAATCTATTTTGGAGTGCTGAGATTGATGAAAGTTGGATCGATCGAACTTTTCTTGAGATCGATCGAAGTTGCTGAAATCCCGCCTTTTGCTCTACTTTGCTCCTTTCTTTGATTCATCCCATAATTGCTTCATTTCTACTCTTATTTGGCTGAGTTAGCTTATTTTAGGGATAAGTACCTAAAAATGGAAATAACACGAAATCAATACAAAACGAGAAAATAAAATAGGTAAATGTTCTAGAATATCTAAGCTTAAGGGGTTTAAATACGCACTTTTCAGCACTCATCAATAAATATCGATACATGGACTTAAGGGGAAAATATTACACTATCATGAAGTCAAAGTCACGAAACAACAAAAAATGGGAAGATCAGACAAACTATTTCTAAAAAAATGAACTTACTTTCTACTTTGGAACACACAACAATTTATATTACTATAATGACCCAAAACACCACTATTATAACATAAAAGCCTTAAAAATGAAATAAATCTAATATATAGAAAGATCCTTGAATAAAATATTTTTTCACAATAAATTAATATTTCACAGTAAATTAATATAGACTTATAGACTTCTTTAGACAAAAGATCTTATATATAAATTTTATTTAACGAAACAGTAGGGCTCTGATACCAAAATTAAAATCAATCAAACCAAATTAGAAGCATGCAATAACATAAAAATAAATTCAACAATTGATTAACAGAAATGACTACCGAACCTGATAATGCTCTGATAATGCCCTGAAACAAAGGTCAAGACACCGGCAAGACTGGGCCAACAAGCCAACAATTCAAGTCGACTTCACAGAAAGAATTGTTAAATTAAAACTAAAGCAGCTTGTACTGGTTGGATTTTAAAAAATTCTAGGATCTACACTGTCTGGTTAAAGAAAATCGATATACGAGATCTTTTATCGACAGAAGTCTTTTGTCCGAAAGAAAAGAAAATACTAAATAAGGGGGATGAGATTTCAAATTAGATGATTTTATTACATAGGAAATATATACATGGATACACACTGTTTATACATAGATATACTCTCACATAATATTTTACAAAAGGAAGTACATTGAAAGAAATCACAAAACGAAAACACACTGAAAGTCTAGGGCTGAAGTCTGGAATACTGATGGAAACTTGATATCTGGAGAACTCACTTACTTTCTCTTGGGCTGAATGGTTCCTTTTATAAGAAAAATGAGAGATGGATTGACGCTTGAGATTGCAGTTGTTGCATAGACGGCTTGAATTCAAGATGCTTGAATTATTACTGAACTCTGTTGCCTCTTGTCCTTTGATGTAACCACTGAATCTACTTTTTAATCCTTATACTGTTGGAGAATCTACTTTCCATCCTTACACTATTGGAGAATTTATTTTCTATCCTTACACTGTTGGAGAATCTGCTTTACCTTTGGATGTTCTCTGGATGCTTCTGGCGAAATCATTTTAATCCTAGCATATTGGACAAATTTCTTTCTTCAGTGCTGTCTGGTGAGCTGTTGTTGTCATAACGAGCATGAAAACATTTGATGAGCTCCTCTTCTTTGTCTATTATAGCAACTACTTTTGGTGAGATTTCAATTTCTGGGGGAGATCTGATGACATATAGAATTCTGGTTTTAATAAAAATTTTCATATTAATATTATGATCTAAAAATCTGAAATCGTGGTTGAAACTTGGGTTAAGCTGCCGGTATGCTTTGTAATACATTAGATGGTCATATGTGGCTGGTTCTATATGGTTACGAAAATTATTAACAAAACGGGTATGTTGTAACTGGTTCTGGACTTCCACTGGATCTGAATTAATATAAATCCTATGTTGTCTAAGAATTATAGCTCCATCATTTACCCATTCAGGGGGATTGCTGTAAATTTGAAGGAGAATTGGACATTCTGGCATGTAGTTTTGGTGCCAATGAGATTGTTCAAAAAGAATTGCTTGGTTCAGTCTGTTGGGAAAATTGAAAACTTCTAATACTTCTAAAGGTATGTCTTTAGGTATGGTAATGTTGTTGACCATTCCTAGTTCTAGAAGCTTACATGTGTGGCATCTGGTGGTTTTTGTTGAGAAGCATGTCTTTCTAACGATATCAAAGGGAGAATAATGTACAAGGTCTAATTGAACTATGGTAAGCACGTCATTATAATAATAACGGGTTCCTTTAGGTAGACTATTGTTTCTGAGGTAATTTTGGATTTCAACCCATTCATTGAGTTCATCAGATTTTGCTTCTTCAAGGATGAGTTGTTTTATGTCTTCAGGAAAGAACTCGACTTGCTGTCTTAAGATTTCTTTGTAAGTCGGAGAGAAAATGGGTAGGAGATTGACATACTTGGTTTGTACATGCAGAAATTGAACTTTTTGAAGATTTTTATCTTCATTAGTCCTTTGTTCAAACATGGTTAGTTCAGCTGTGGTGTTTGCTGGTACATTTTGATAAAATGAGAAATGAGAATCTTGTGTTCTTGCCGGAGATTATGATATGCTTGGTTAGATGACACAAAATATTCACTTAAAGTATTTAAATTTCTGACGAAGGCTCTGTCGGGATTATTTCTAGTAAACCAAATATTATCTAAAATAAGTTTTTGGTCTAGAAGAAGTTTATGTCTAGCGCGAAACTATTGAGCTGGGTTTTGGATAATTAAAAGTGGGTTAGAAGTGCCTGGTATAATAAAGCTATAGCTGTTGTTACTACTTTTCTACATTCTTGCAAAATTTAACAATCAATTAGTAAACCAGATAGAATATCTGCTAGATAATTATCCGTTCCTTTGACATGTTCAAATGTAGGTTTAAAACCTCTACTAGAAATACAATCAATAGAGGAAATTCATTTTTTTGCAGACATCCTTTGTTGTTTTGCCTTATTTGCAAATTTGACAATATTATCACAATCTATTCTTATGAGGAATTTTTTATTAAGAAAAATCTGAAATTTTTCTATAGAGTTTATTACTCCTAAAATTTCTAGATCTATTGATGGTAGTGTAGATTGTGCTTTATTAAATGTTCCGCTTGCATGGTGACAAATTTGTTTTTCTTCTCGAGAAGTTTCTTTTGTAGGTCTTTGAAGGAGTAAACTTGCC